AGTTGTTACTTTACGCCGTACCACTTGAAGACTAATCAGGGGCGACAAACTAGGAGCTCCCCACCTTTAGTCCCCCAGATGCCCCAAAATGAATAGGGGACTAAGGGACTCCCTTCCCCAGAAAAATGTGCCGTTTCCTAACCTTCTCTGTTTTAGTATTTTTTTTTAAATATACGTCATATTATTTTAAACTTCCTAGCCATTCAACATGATGATAACAATAACAGTAACTGTTATTAATAATAAAACAAGGCTTCAGCCCTTTGATTGTCTCCATCCCCCTTCCCCCGCTCCTTAAAAAATTACAAATGCTCGGAGCTCCAACCTCTCCCCAATGTTTGAATGCCAGGGACGATTTGGGAGCAAACCTCCTGCGTTAATTAAGACAATGGTATCAAGAGCAGCTGACCGTTAAGAAAGCACGGACAAACTACTGAATTTGCCTAGAAAAACCACAACAGCAAAAAAAAAATAAAAAAAATCGTGGTTTGTTATGCAACGTCATGTAAAGGATATGCAACTAACTGTAAGAATTAATGCCTTTTCTTCTTTGTATAGTTCATGCTCTATGGTGATGATCATCGTATCTATCCACAGTATTTTGTCTTGTGTACTACCAGTCATTTATAATATTCCCTCATAATGTCAAACTCTTTCTGCCTCTTTTCTCCTTTCACCCAACACTCGAACTCCGCCCATGCCCCTTTATTTTGGGGCCTGTCTTTCACTCCGTCTTTCGTGTTTCTTTTTCGATTTTTTCGTTTTAATTTCTTTTAAGACATCTCTATTCATTATTTTTATTATTATTATTATTATTATTATTAAAGGTTAGTTGCGTATCTTTTACAGGACGTTGCAGAACCAACACTATCAGCCCCTGGCTGTTGTGTGGTTTCACTAGGCAAATTTACGTCCAGTAGTTTGCCATTGCTTACTGGACGGTCAGCTTCCTGATACCACTGTCGAAACCAACGCAAGGCGTATGGCCCGCAGCTGGGATCGAACCCGGTACCTAGGCATTACGAAGCGTTCGCATCAACTTAGCCACAGAGCCGACATTATTATTATTACATCTCTTAATTCTGCTACCATCTTTTTATATATAATTCTTCAAAGCTGACTATATATGATTCACTTTCCCACTTCTGGGTTGACTCTAGCACTATATCTTAACTCTTATTCACACCCGAATTGTGGTGTGTGGTATGTGTGTGTGTATGTGTGTGTGTGAGAGAGAGAGAGAGAGAGAGAAAGAGAAGGACAGAGAGAGAGGAGGAAGAGAGAGAGAGAGAGAGAGAGAGAGAGAGAGAGAGAGAGAGAGAGAGAGAGAGAGAGAGAGATTGCTAGCGTTATGATTGTGCTCTGAGAATACTTCGATCTGATACTAAAGCAAACCTGTACTCAATACACCGAACACATCTCACAAGCTAGGAGTTTCGTATCGGCAAATACTGGGCTGCTTAAAACGCTGCAGCAGTGTTGCTAATTAATGTATCATATTTTACTTAACAGCAAGACTGGTTTTTAAAGTGTGTTAATTTAAATGTGATTAATCAACAATCAGGAAAAAAAATGATTGTTCGGAGTTCTGTTTTCTTGCTGTTTGTAGCCAGTCTACAAGGTTTGTATGTATAAAACGAGACCTCTACATTCTGATAAATAAAACTGCCATAAGTTGCTAGTTTTTAAGTTATCGTTACGACATTTCGGATAACCATGTTTTTTCTCCATTTGAATACTGACTACAAAGACAAAGTCGAAACCTAGTTCTCTATTACTACAGCCCGTCTCTCTAGCGTAGTTGGCTAAACCGGATTGCGCGGTGAGCGGGTGACGAACTCCTTGTGGTCCGGGTTCACTCCCGGGGGTGGGCAGAAAAGCCACATTTCTCCCAGATTTACGGTATTTAAAATGGAATCAAGGCCGAAAGGTTGCGATATCCATAATACCGAGCCTAAGGGTTAATAACTCATGGCTTCTGGATACTAAAACAAACAAACAAACTCTATTACTACACTAAAATCTTGTTCTGTTGACCAAACCATATGTTTCTTTTGTGTGTGGACAATTTTCTCTTTCATAGTTCAGTTGTTCTGAGCTCAGCAGGAATTAGTGTTCACCACGTCTTTATCTATTCATTATTCTAATTGCCTATTTATTTACTTTACCCCTTCAGCTTAATATTATTATTACTATTACCGTTGTTCCCCTCCCCCCCCCCCCCACTTGTTGTTATTGTTATTATTATTAATACTGTTACAATTTTCGTTCTGTTATTAATGTTTATTTTCGTGACATCTCTGCATATTCCTCTCTCTATTTATTCCTTTATATTTATTCACGTAGCTTCCCTGTGTTGGGACTGGTGTCTAGGATTTTTTATAATACCACTCGCTGATAAATGCTGCGGTCGAAACATTCCACTGTTCATGGGTGTTCTTTCATTTGAGCTTCAAAGACTCGATGCGAACGCTTCGCTTCGTAATGCCGGGATGCCAGGTTCGATCCCAGCTGCGGGCAATGCGCCTTGCGTTGGTTTCGACAGTGGTATCAAGAAAGCCGACCGTCCAGTAGCAATGGCAAACTACTGGATGTAACTTGCCTAGAGAAACCACACAACAGCCAGGAGCTGTTAGGGTTGGTTCTGCAACGTCCTGTAAAGGATACGCAACTAAAAAAAAAAGATATAGTTTGTGTTCTCTAAATTCGTTTATGGATAGTAGTAGTAATAGTAGTAGTAGTAGTAGCAGCAGCAGCAGCAGCAGCAGCAGCAGCAGCAGCAGCAGCAGCAGTAGTAGTAGTAGTAGTAGTAGTAGTAGTAGTAGTAGTAGTAGTAGTAGTAGTAGTCGTAGTAGTTATAGTAGTACATTTTACCCCACTAGGACATCACACAAGCGATAATCAACCGATGACACAAAGTGCCACCATGCGGATGAGGATCACCCGTAAAGAGGTCCCGGCAAGTCCTTCTGTATATATACAGATAAGACCCAGTTGGCCTATAAATAGAGAATCAATCAAGTAACAGAAAGTGTAAAAATCGGCACTCATAGAAAGAAGAAGAAAGATAGGCCGTGGTCCCGTAAACCGCGTTCAGCCATTAGGCCATGTTTATGGCCGGGTTATATTGCGACCCCTGGCAAGAGCAAGGGTGGGGCTTTGAAATAACGAAAAATTGCACCCCACAGGGGGATCACTGTAATAAGCTTGTTTATGTATAGCGGAGTTTGTTGCTTTAAATATTTGCAAGATACTTTACAACAATGTCGTACACGACCTTTATTTTTAAAGGATTAGTTCACCCAATTAGCGTTTAGGGCATGTGACGCTTAACTCATATTTTAATGGACAATCGACACTCGACGGGCGCTGTGGTCAATAATCACAACGGCCGCCTTTACTTTCCAGGACATTTCCTGTCAGCTATTTTTTTGATGGGTCGACCTGGGAGCCTTAATTGAATTATGAACACTAGACCTTAGGGCGTGCAGAAAAGTTTCTCGGTACTGCGCTGCCACGGTTTACCTTACATGATTTTGCAAATCTTATTTAGCGAATTAGTTACTGTTTGCCCGTGTTTATCTATTGTATCAATTCTGACTGATATTCTTTTATAATTAACACACTTACCGCTCTAAAAAGCGCTAAATACGAATAGTAGTGACAAGTGTACGAAATGTATGTAAGCTTCGTCATCCCCCTTGAGGGATGCAATTTTTCGTTAATTTGGAGCCCCACCCTTGCTTTTGACAGGGGCCACAATTATAGCTTTATGGTTGAACGCGGTTTCTGGGACTTCTCCACGGGTGATCCTCATCCGCATGGTTGCACTTTCTGTCACCGGGTGTTTATCGCTCTGCGTGATGTCTTGGTGGGGTAAAATAAACTTACTTACTTACTTGCGAAAAGTACGTTAGCAGGTGTGACAAAGAAAGAACAAAGAAAATTAAAATTTGCTGGCATCAAAAATTCTTTGTAGACTCATTTATAGCAAAGATATACTTCATTAAGTCTACATTGAATATTATGTTTTGTTTTGCAGCCTCATCTTATGAAGATGGAACTACAGCTATCAATGGTATGTAAACTATAAATAGAGTATTACGTAGAATATTTATTTGTAAAAGCAAAATCAGTTCTGAGGCTTGGTTCAGAAAATTGTAGAATGACCAGTTGCTGCTGACTGTCTGACCAATTCCCTCCACCTCTGGCAGTCTTCTTCTTCTATTTAGTATTCTCCAGTTTTAAACTCCGGCGGAAAGTTTTGTTGTTCATCAACTTCTGAACTTTGGTCCTTTTTATGTTATGCAGACTGTTGGTTCCTCGTCACTAAAACAGATGCATTTTGACTTCGAAGGACCCCCTCCCCAACTGGTTGCCTTTTACGACATGCTTGTGTGTGTGGGTGAGGGTGGGGGTGAGAGGGACTATTCCTTATTTCCCCTGCGACCCACACGGGGATGCGTTATCAATCGGATGGAAGGGAACTGATGTTTGCATGTCTGATGCCTGTCCATTTAGTCAAATTTTGATTCAGGTCTTTCATGGCCTTCCTGTTCTCCTTTACGGAGCTCTGCAGTACTCTTTTGGGAGGAGTCTCGTACATCAGGTTACGAGTCTGTTCCATCGTATTTTTGTTTAAACTGTTGTAAAAAAGTTAATTGTTACCAATGTGCTGACTGATCATACAAAGAACTTTATCATTTGTAATGTGTTCTCTCTATGGTATGATATACCAGGCATCTTGCGAAAAGATCTAATTACCAAGGTCTTAGTACTTCAGTGCTTGCCAGTTTCTTTCATGTTCGTGTGTTAAAATCTACAATTCACAGAATGAAAATAGATTTTAAGAAAAGATCATGTTAAAATCCACTATGCCAGTTAACAGTCAACACTGTGTAGGGAAACATTTTTTTTAATCAACATTTATTTATGAAAGTATGACTGTTATAATTACTGATAAACACATTATATTGTTTTATGTATATTTCCGAATCCAGTTTCCAAATCCAGCTTTACTGTGTTTATTCCAATCCTCCCGGATTGCTGGTGCAGCTGCAAGCCTGCACGTATCCCTCGGAATGAGACAGAGTATGCAGAGTATGTGGATAAGTTGAAATCTGCCATACAAGTGGAGTTACTCCTTGATACTGGGGTAAGTTTAGATATGTGGATAAGTTGAAATCTGCCACACAAGTGGAGTTACTCCTTGATACTGGGGTAAGTTTAGATATATAGATAAGTATAAATCTGCCACACAAGTGGAGTTACTCTTTGATACTGGGGTAAGTTCAGATAATAATAGTTACTTTTGTCCTTTTTAGGACGACATTTTTTGTTATTTGAAGCCCCACCCTGGCTTTTGCCAGGGGCCACAATATAGGCAGGCCATAAATATGGCCAGTTGTCTGAACGCGGTTTCTGGGACCTCTCCACGGCGATCCTCATCCACATGGTGGCACTTTGTGTCATCGGGTGTTTATCGCTTTTGTGATGTCTTGGTGGGGTAGAAAGTCAGTCAGTCAGTTTAGATATGTGGATATGTTGAAATCTGCCACACAAGTGGAGCTATTCCTTGATAGGTTAGTTGCGTATCCTTTACAGGACGTTGCAGAACCAACCCCAACAGCCCCTGGCTGTTGTGTGGTTTTTCTAGGCAAATTTACGTCCAGTAGTTTGCCATTGCTCCTGGACGGTCGGCTTTCTTGATACCACTGTCGAAACCAAAGCAAGGCGCATGGCCTGTAGCAGGGATCGAACCCGGCATCCCGGCATTACGAAGCGTTCGCATGGACTTAGCCATAAGGCCGACTGATACTTGATTCTGGGGTAAATTTATGGATAAGTGGAAGTCTGCCATACAAACTGGGCTGCTCCTTGATACTGGGGTAAGTTGAGATGTTTGGATAAGTAGAAATCTGTAATACAAGTAGAGTTACTCCTTGGTGTTAGTTAGTTGCGTATCCTTTACAGGACGTTGGAGAACCAACCCCAGCAGCCCCTGGCTGTTGTGTGGTTTCTATAGGCAAATTTACGTCCAGTAGTTCGCCATTGCTTACTGGACGGTCGGCCCCCTGATACCACAGTTAAAACCAACGTAAGGCGCATGGCCCGCAGCTGGGATCAAACCCAGCATCCCGGCATTACGAAGCGTTAGCATTGACTTAGCCACATAGGCGACGACTCCTTGATACTGGGGTAATTTAAGGATAAGGGGAAACTTGTCGTACAAGGGAGCTGCTCCTTGATACTGGGGTAAGTTGAGATGTTTGGATAAGTAGAAATCTGCCACGCAAGTGGAGTTACTCCTTGATACTGGGGTAATTTATAGATACGAGGAATCCTGTCGTACAAGGGGGCTACTCCTTGATGCTGGGGTAATTTATAGATAAGTTGAATCCTGTCGTACAAGGGGGCTACTCCTTGATACTGGGATAAGTTTATGCATAAATGGAAACCTGTCATACACGTGGAGTTACTCCTTGATACTGGGATAAGCTAAGATACACGAATAAGTGGAAATCTGCCATACAAGCGGAGTTACTACGCTTTACTGTGGCAAGCCTGGATATGTTGATAAGTTGAAATATGTCATATATCTCATTTTACTGCGATGAGAGTAGATTTGAGGATAAGTGGAAATCTGCCATACAAGTGATCTTCTCCTTGACACTGGGGTAATGTCATGCGACTTCCTTTCATTTGCTCCTTTGAAGTAAGAGTGCATCCGCCTGAGAGGCAAAGAACAGTTTGCATACAAATAAGTCATCTATGAAAAAGATGTGCACCCAAAACTCAAGCTCTGAAATAGGACCAAAGTCCAGAAGTTGACGATCAACAGCAACTTTCCGAGAGTTTAGAGCTCGTGAACGCTAATAATAATAATAATAATAATAATAATAATAATAATAATAATAATAATAATAATAATAATAATAATAATAATAATAATAATAATAATAATAATTCACTTGTTTTGGTCTACCTTTTGAAAGTAGAGAAAATAAAATAATATTAAATAACACCAGACAATTTACATATATTGACCCCATCAGGACTCGAATCGCCTGATGTTACTTTTGGTACATAAATTATATGGGAGTGGCCATAGTGTAGTCTAGATGCCCATATGCAGACCCAAAGGGTGGTGGGTTTGAATCCGCAACGAATCGGATTTTTTTTTCTTTTTTTCAGAACGATCTTTGGCTCCCAGGTCGAACCAGTCTAAAATGGGTACCAGGTAATGTCCAGTGAAGTAAAGGCAGCCTGCGGGAGGTTGACCACATGACCAACCAAGTGCTGACTGGTCATTAAACATGTGATTGTAGCATTATATGTCACACGCGCCACTAGAGCTTTACTTTACTTTTTAGAGACGTATGCATACTGCAGTTGAATACGCAATCAGAGAATAATTTGAAGTAATCTGTTGTGTATTTGCGGAAAAGCCGGGAATACTTTTTGTGTGAAAGCATCATCTAGACCAGTGCTCTTCAATATTTTTCAGGTGGCTGCCCCCCCCCCCCCAATGAGTATACGACACGCCCCTCCCCCTTTTCAACGCCACCCCCTCACCACAGCATAACAACATGTGATTAAAATGTGGAGGAAAGAAAAATCATAAACATTGATCCAGAGCAGTGTTCTTCAAACCTTTTTAGGTGGTGTCTCCATGAGTATATGACAAGGCCCCTCCCCCTTTTTTACACACACACAACATAACAACATGTGATTAAAAAGAGGAGGGAAACAAAACATAAACACTGATCCAGCGCAGTGTTTTTCAATCGGTCGGCTGCGTAAAAGTCTGGGTGGTTCGCCCAAAATGTCTGGTTTAACATGTCACAGCTACACTATTCCGGCATTACATTGCTGCATAGCGAATGAGATGTTGTACGCGTCACTTTAGCGCGGAAGAAGCGACGTAGTGTGCTAGCTTCCCTTGTCCTCGAAACGTCGAAACATTCATATTGCATGACGCTTGCCAGTATTGCTTTCTAATATTGTATTGTGTAATCAATCTAAGAACACACATTCTTGTTTCGTTAAATATCAAAATCCTGAAAGTGGCTATAAAAAAAATAATTTAAAACAAAATATATCTGGCAGAAAAAACCTTGTAACATTTAAAAAAAAAAAAAAAAAATTAGACAAAGTCAGTATTCAAGAGAATTTTGATACTAGTTCATTAAGCATGCAAAGTACTAGCCCTTCAACTTTCAAAGAAGCAGAGAAGAATAAATATGTTGATACTTCGAAATGTTTCCTACAAACCAAGAGAAGAAATATAAACATTGGTAGGCATTTCGACACGGACTGTAACACGTGGTTTTACCTGTGGCTCCTGGCAGTGAACTCTTGCCACGACTTATGTGGGTAGTTTGTTCCGAAATTCTGTTAAATAAGACTATGACACCTTCTAAATGTTCCCGTCATTTATGTTAAAAGCATAGAGATTGTTTTAATAAGCCAGATGGACACCACCCCCAAAGATTGCCAGAGCAGATAAAAAATCAGGGAAGAGTAATGGAAGTGGGATAGAAAGGGGCTAAATCTCTAGTGCGTATGCAGGGCCCATACTAGTCAAGAGATCTAATCTTAAACTTACTATAGCGCCTTCCGATGTCGAACAGCTTTTTCAGGGCCCTATCTTGACTGTTGCTGGGGGCCCTAATATAACTCAACCTATGAGTTGAGCGGTTTTTCTGGGACCTGTTCCCGGCTGATCCTCATCCGAATGGTGGCACTTTGTGTCATCGGGTGTATATCGCTCGATGTGATGTCCTGGTGGGGTTGAACGTCTGTAAGTCAATCTTGGTCGTCCTAGAAACAGACTCCCAACCTCCCAAGTCGGAGTGCATCTACTCGAGAGGCGAGGCGGTACATACTATTTGTAGGTAGGTTACTAATTCAGAAAAATTCTTATAGATGTAATTACATTATTTCAAAAACTACTTTTATTTACAAAGTCATGTTATTTCAGAAACTATCGGCAACGACAAGAAAGAAAACCAGTGCTACAGACAGTAGAATATCAGCGGTGGGAGTCGGTTCAATTGGCATATTGACGTTGTCTTTAGTGTTCTTGACTATTGCTTGTATGGATTTGACAAGCCTACGAATGTTAGGCCATATGTTCAAGGGAAACAACGTGTAGAAGATTAAAACAATTGTGTATCTATACGCCTACTGCCCTTTATAACAAACATCAATAAATCCATACACTTCTCGTGTGTGTGTGTGTGTGTGTGTGCGGTGTGTGTGTGTGTGTGTGTTTTCTTTCTTGTTAGTTTGATAAGACTCAAGTCTTTGAGAATAATAATTTCTATACTTTTATAGTATCTGTATAGTATTTTCTTTTCTTTTATAATTAATATTATAAATGGTGTCTTTTGAGTTATGCGTCATTTTGCTGCAATGAATACAGTTCACATTCTGTCCCAATAGGAGACGCAATTTTAAAACAATTATGTTAAAGCCCCACCCCCACTATTGTCAGACACCCTACGGTTGAATGAGGTTTCCGGGACTTGTGTCCGGGGGATTCTCATCCGAATGCTGGCACTTTATATCAGCAGGTGGTAATCGCTCCTTGTGTGGTCCTAGTGGGGTTAAATGTCAGTCAATCAGTGTGCTGTAATTACTTTTAGATTAATGGTATCTAACTTTATCTATCGTATTCTCACCAGCCTTGATTCAACAGAAAATATCAGAGGTTTCATCTGATCCACCTACAGTGGACTACAGTTTACTCGTTTACAGTTTTGTGGTGCCCCAATATAACTGTGCTATATGGCTACATGGTCTGATTCTCATAGTTGTGAAAAAACATTCAGAGAAAAGAAGCAGAAGAAGGTGTTTGGCTACACAAGTAGCAAGCAATTAAAAAAAGAAAATTATCCCGGTTTGAGAACTAAATCATGGAAAGAATACAGAGGAAGCTTAAACACGGACTATACAGGTTTAATAAAAATGTGTATAAGAAAATCAAATTTATTAGAAACAAAGAAATGAACTTTGCTTTGACCCTGCAGAAAGGATAAATAATTAAAACGGAAATGAACTAAATGATCCAAACCTTATCTTACAGTGATAGCAAGAATACTTCATTTATCTACTCAATATTCATTCGGAGGAAAACGAAGAATTGCAACC